GGCATGATGAGGTTAAGTGAATTCTTTCAGGAGACTTATGATTTATTCTCCAATGCATAACCTGGCTGTGGTCTTTGGAGCTACTTCATAAGCAGCCCTAATTTTACTTTATGGAGCAGAGTCTCTTGGCCCTTCAGCCAGATCCCCACTTCTTTTTTGTTTGTTTTTTTGTTTTGTTTTGTTTTGAACTGTCTCTTTATTTGTTTTTAACTTTTTATTTTATATTGGAGTATAGCCGATTAACAATGTTGTGATAGTTTCAGCTGCACAACAAAGCGACTCAATCATACATATGCAGGTATCCATCCTCCCCCAAACTCCCCTCTCATCCAGCCTGCCACATAACATTAAGCAGAGTTCCCTGTGCTATACAGTATGTCCTTGTTGGTTATCCATGTTAAGTATAACAGTGCAGATCCCCACTTCTTTTGAAGCTGATTCTGGCTACCTGCCAATCAAAATAATTTGTATGAAATCAAAATGAATGGAACGAAAAAGTAGGCATGGAAAGTACTGTCACATATCCTCGCTGCTCTGCTCCAATTGTGAGACCCCAACTTTCAAGAAACATCACCCAGGGCTTCCCTGGTGGCGCAGTGGTTGGGAATCCGCCTGCCAATGCAGGGGACACGGGTTCGAGCCCTGGTCCAGGAGGATTCCACATGCCGCGGAGCAACTAAGCTCGTGCGCCACAACTATTGAGCCTGCGCTCTAGAGCCCACGAGCCACAACTACTGAAGCCCGTGTGCCACAACTACTGAAGCCCGCGTGCCTGGAGCCTGTGCTCTGCAACAAGAGAAGCCACCACAATGAGAAGCCTGTGCCCCGCAAAGAGGAGTGGCCCCCGCTCGCTGCAACTAGAGAGGGCCTGTGTGCAGCAGCGAAGACCCAATGCAGCCAAAAATTAAATAAATGAATAAATAAATAAATTTATAAAAAAAGAAACATCACCCATATCAAATTTCTCAGTAATATTTACCTCTCATTTTTTCCACCATATCGATAACTAGCTGTTTTCATCTCCAAAGTGCTTCTCAAACATTAAATAATCTGAGATTACACACTCTATTCTTTGCATATATCTTGACCAGCTGTCAGAGAAGGCAATTTATGTCCCCTCAATTTTATTCTTCTTGGCACTGTGTGGCTTCTATAAGTAAATCTGAATGGAAATTGAAAGTTACAACCTAGTGTGTCTCCATAACAAAGGCAACACATAATTTTCCTTAAGCAGGGTAACCTTCAGGTTACTTTCAAACTTTCTTTATTCAGTTTCAAGATACCAAGCATGTGTGTATGTTATTGTCTGCAGAAATACTCTCTTATACACAGTTCACTGAAGTGAATCTAAAGAGCAAAAGCAATTCTTCCCATGTTCTCTATATAGTGATAGTAGGAAGCCTTCCAGAAGTTAAAAAACTGGAGTTTAGCAACATATCAGCTTTCACGCGGGCCTCTCCTACACACTTATATAATTCACTTACTCTCCTGCGAATCATTTGATTCACTTGTAGCCCCACTTGAGTCTTGAATCGCATTTCAAAGTATTTCTATCATTCATCCATTTTCAGAACTGCCATTAGAAGTGATGGGAATTTGGCACCAAATTCAGTGAGAGGATATGATATGAGTTCTTTCTAATTTTTCTTTGAGCACCACCTCAGGTTCAAACTGTGAAATCTGCTTTTTAGAGTTATTTTTCCATCTTGGTATCATTTCAACTAAGTTGAATTTTAGAGCTTGGGATATGCATTCACATAGATTTTCAGAGAAGAAAGGAGATTCATTATTGTTACTATTATTAATTTATACCTAAAGTTGTTTTAAAATTTTAATTAAATGATTTTACCACTGATGTTTCTCATCAGCTTTTTACTCTTAAAAATATATGCCTAGATTTACCATTGTCATCTAAAAATTGTTGTATTAGTTATGTTTGGTTATTATTAATACCTACTAATATATACACTAGAATGCATTTGATTTTCTTTTCCCTAGTCAGTCTAGAATTTTATGTTATTTATTTTATTTCTATATAGGGGAGGAAAGTACCATTTTATGGGTAAAGAAACAAAAGAGGAAAACTTTATTAACTAGAGTATTAATTTTGCGTGTGGTATTTTCATTTCTTTTGTCAACAACTAAAAATTGTCTTATGAACTGAATTTATACTTTAAGTACCCAGTGCATGCATCTGTTTGAGGGTTCAAACTTTGTGTACTTTATTCAGTTACATTGATAACATTTGTACAATAACAAAATAAGTTTATTTCTTAATGGGGCAAAACAGGATCCATTAATATGAATAAATTACAGTATGTGTCCCTGTTTTCCTGTATTACAATAAATAAATTGATTAGGAAAGACATTGAGGAAGTCATAGCATTCTTTTTTTGGTTGCCTGAAACTGTCTTAGCCTAATGTATATGCTTATTAAGTGGAAAAAAATGTCTGCATTTATCGAGGAGTTAGTCCCTCAGCCTTTGTTTCTAAGGTTAATCTTGCACTTCTAGCCCTTCCTTATCATGACAGTAGTGGTTGTAGAGTCCTACCTGTAGAAGTAGTGGCCAAAGTAACGATGATAGTGATGATGATAATGGCAAAGATTATTTTAAGAGTAACTCCATTTAGGTGAAATTCATTTTGTAAAAAATGTCAAATAAGCTTCCGGTTGGGAGTGGAAAAATTTTTTAAACATTTTTAATGTCAAAGAAGTTTGAAAATTTGCTTTTGAAAAAAAATTTGGGAATGTAATTTAGAGATAAAATTGAAAATATTTACTTATGTATATTAGAATGTGATTAATCAAAATTTTCTCTTCCCTGATAGGTAATTCTTTAATTGTTGTAGACAGAGTAGCTCATATTTAAAGTATATGAAATATATTGTTAAGCTGTAATTTTGGCAAAAATATTTTGATTGTTGGGGTATTTTTTCTCTTTAGTACTCAGTTATTTATTCCACATCTGTGTAATTTCTGGTTGGTCTTCAATTGTTCTTAAATGAAACATGATATATTTGTTCCAAATAATCTCTAAGTTTCCTCTAGAGATAACTTTCTATGAGTCAAGGCTTGTCAATATAGTCATATATGCCTGCTCTCCATTGAGGGGATGCTTTCAAGTTATGCAAAGGCAGCAACTTTACAGAAGAAAAATGAATTACAAAATTTTAAAATGTTTATACATAAAAATATAATAAAAAGGGCTTCCCTGGTGGCGCAGTGGTTGAGAGTCCGCCTGCCGATGCAGGGGATGCGGGTTCGTGCCCCAGTCCAGGAGGATCCTACATGCCGCGGAGCGGCTGGGCCCATGACCCATGGCCGCTGAGCCTGCGCATCCGGAGCCTGTGCTCCACAACGGGAGAGGCCACAACAGCGAGAAGCCCGCGTACCGCAAAAGAAAAGTCATAAAAAGAAAGAGTAAACAGTTGAAGGAAAAAAGTGCAACATAAGTTTAGATAAAGTGGTACTATCCTATATGTGTGTGTTTATTTATAAACATACATGTATACACACATGCATACATGTAAGTACATTTACACTTAGACATACTCATATATGTATATGCAAATATACATATACAAAATATATACATATACATTACATATATATGTATATGTGTACACAATTTTATAAACCACCAGAAGGAGGTTTATAGAAAAATGAACAAAAAATTTCACAGGATAAGAAATATAAATGAAAAATAAACATATAAAAAAGCTTACCTCTAGCAATCAAAGAATTGCAAATGAAGTAGAATTTTCCTCCTGTGTGATTGAACATATTTTGAATACCAGTAATACCCAGGGTTGTCAAGGATAAGGAAACAAATTATTTTTATTTTCAAAAATAAACTAATTTTCAAATATATACATATATTCTCAAAAGATATAAAAGTGATTATATTATTTGCCCAGAAATTCTATATTTAGGAAATTCTCCTTATACAAAAATCATTAATATGTGCTGAGAAAACTTCTGCCATGTCCCAGGGTAGAAAGCTGTTCAACTAAATTATGCATAGCCATGGAATGACATGCCATGTAGCCACTTAAGTGGTATTTTATGGAATATATACAGCAAGAAATCATGTTTATTATATATTGCCTAGTAAAAAAAACTAACGGAGAGTGTGTTGATGACTTGTCAGAAACAAATAAAACATATTTATGTATTTACTTGCATGTACAGAAAAGTAGGTATAAATAGAACAATATGTCAACAGTTCTTTTTGCGTGGTGAGAATACAAATAATTATCTATGGTAAGTCTATTGTTTAATAAAAAACCCAAATAATTATCTATTTATTTATTTTGCTATTTTTTATATTTTTTCAATTTTCAGTCATGAACTGAAAGTATAGACTTTTGTAAGCAGAAATAAAAAGTTTCTGGATATAATAAGATTTTCCAACATTAATCTCTTAGATCTTCTATGCCCCTTTCACAAATAAAAATTAATGGCTTTAATAGAGGTTCAATTATGCTGTTAAACCAGAATATCCAAAAGAAATTTCATCCATTTGAACTATTTTATCACTGATTTTGTTTCTCTCCCAGAGGGGATATTTTTGCTTGCATTTAGACCTGACATATGAGCCTAAATAAAAGAAAAAGGTGTTAAAAAGCAACTTGACCAAAAAAGCCATTGCCCTTGATGGTATTGGGTATATGAGGCGGTAAGGGACATGCAAAAATGATTGAAGATTATGACATAGTTTGTGGCCTGGATGGCAGTACTTATGGAACTTGGGAGACGAGGAATGCTGATTATGAGGGCCTATGGGTATCAGGGTGGAGGGTAAATGCTGAGAAAGTGAAATGTGGTAGTGGGCAGGGAGTTTGGCTCTACCACTAAAGAGGTGTATTCTGCCATAGAAAATGCTATAAAAGAGCTATATATACCTATACAGTCTGTGTTTTGTGGGGAAGGGGTTTTTGTCATCAATATTTGACATGAAATTCCAAATTGTAATTCTCCTTTTCCAATGTTCGATTAGGAAATGCATCTACGACCACAACTGTGATAGACAGCAAGAATGGATCTGTGCCCAAATCCCCTGGAAAAGTGATAAAGAGGACAGTTACAGAAGATATAGTGACGACATTCAGCTCCCCAGCAGCCTGGCTTCTGGTCATTGCTCTGATCATCACGTGGTCAGCTGTGGCCATTGTTATGTTTGACTTAGTGGATTACAGAAACTTTTCAGGTAAGATCCATGAAGTTTGGCTTTTCTTTTTTTTCTTTCTTTTTAAATTAATTTTTAGGGGAGTATAGCTACTTTGCAATGTTGTGTTAGTGTCTGCTGTACCTCAGAAGTTTGGCTTTTAAATGGAAAGAAACAGAGTTCTCTCCAGCTTTGGCTTTGTTTCTCTTCACCTTGCAAATAAACAAAGCATCCCACAAACATGCTTGAGGGCCTCTAAGGGCTAGTTCCCATCTTCACATTTCCTTCTAATCTTTGCCTGTTGTTCTCATAGACTTCAAATGAAACCTGATTTGAAGAGCTGAACAAAAGCTCAATGTTATAGTTTCATGAGGATAACAATTCCAAAGATTGGTGGATATTTGGTTTGGGAATAGGGACTTTATCAATCATTAATAAAGGATAATTTGTAGATTTTACACTCGGCTATATAAAACCAAACCAAACCCAAATAAAACACTTTTGGATAAATGGAAAATTGTGTATTTTTAAGTCCCCCATTATCTGGCTCCAAGTTTCCTTCCCAGACATTCTCTTTGTTCCTCCCATTAAAACATCCTATTTTGATTTCCTAAAAATAAAGAATGTTAAAAGGAATTTCAAGGAATTACTTGTAATGCGATACTACGGCCAGCCATGTGTTCTTATAGATTCAGAGTGAAATAGGAATATCACAAGTGAGGAAATTTAGATTTTCATTATGGCCTATCCAATCTCTGAGTATATTGTTCATCTCTTTGTTCAAGGGGTTTCTGTTTTCTTTAAATTATATTTGTCTATTTCCACATCTGACATGCTCTATTGAGCATGTGAGTTCCTTGAGGGAAGGAATCAGTCAGGTGCTCAATAATTATTAAATGAATAGATGAATGAGTTTATGCTTATGCCTTTGTATCATAAGCAAAAACATTTTATTAGCCTCTTAATGTGCTCATTCATATTTGCACTGTGCACCCTCCCACCTACCTGTTCTTTGTTCAGTAAGAGTGGAATCGGTAGAACCCAGAAACTATAAATACTGTAAGTTGCATTCTATATACTGAGAGATTCTCTACTTCTCATTATGGTATTTTACTCATTCAACAATTATTGTCAAGTATCTACTACATATGCCAGGAAATGGCTATGTTAAAAGAAATGCAAGTATGAATAACACAAAGTCAAAAAACTGTATAGTTTGGGTTTATTGATATGGAGGTGTGACTGAGATGACTCTGCCCCCTGTACCGTTGGTAGCTGGGTTAAAGTGAGCATCATCTAACAGGTAGAGCTAAGTCTCATGATGTCAACCAAAGCAAAAGGGCTATTTATCCAGAGCCATAAACCTCTGCTTTAAGTAGGCAATAGTTTTGGTATATTGTGTAATGCATACTCTTAAAAGAATATACAGTTGAAATGCCTATAATACAAAATATGACCTAGAATTTTAAGTGAAAAACAGTTGTTTACATTACTCTAGGAAATTTCATTTCCTTTGAGCCTATATTGACTGATATTTTTCATCTGTTCTTTTTTAGAATTTCATTCATTCAAATTTTAGAACCAAATATGGTCACATAATCTAGTTCTTCAATTTTTACAGTAGATGTGTTTTAAGAATTGTGTGTAAATCTAATATTTGTAAAGTTAATATTTTAATAAGTATACTAAATAAATTACTGATGAATTTGTTCTTAATTATTTGATAAAATGAGAAGCTACCTATAATTAAATTTTCAGATTAGATTACTTAAATGTAAGGCACACAGTCCACAGTAGAGCTTCCTTGGACCGTTGTAATTAATTACTATGGATAATGCCTATGATCCTGGCATTTCATTTGATGGGGAAAAATAACCTCTGTATTACTACTACTTCACTTCTTCTTTCAAGAAGTGTTTGCCCAGTACATCGTCTTTGTGAAGACTCCTCCTCCAGTTCTATATATTTATTAATGACCTAACCATCTATCCATTTGCGGCAAAAAGAAACCTGCAAGTCATCTGTTAAATCTGCTGGGCACCTGATCAGTTACCACACTGTATGCCAGCCAAACCTCTTATGCCTCATAAATTTGCTTCCTCCTCTTATTACCACAGTCTCCATTACTACACTGCAGACCTTGATTCTCTTTTGAGGGGGCTAATGCAGTTTCTTCTTGTCTGCCTCATCCAGGCCTCTCCCCTTTAACATTGCCCCCAAGGTATCTTCATAAAACGTCAATTTCATTATTTCTGCCAAGTACAAATTCCTTGGCATGAAATTCAAGTCCTTGGCTTAGCCCTTTATTTCCATCTTGTAACTCTGCTCATGCACCCCGTTTTCCAGCCATACTTCCTATTGCTCTCACCTGTTTTCTTTGCCTAGGAAAACATACACTCTCACTCCTCCCTGCCTCTGCTCATACCATCCTTCCCTCATTCCCTGATCCAGTATAGCAGAAAGTGTAAAAAAGTAGTTAAGAATGTGAACTCTGGTGTTGCATTTCCTTGCTATTAAATCCAGATCTTGCAATTTTATAGTCATTGTGATATCAGAAAAGTCACTTGGTCTCTCTTTGCTTCAGTTTCATCATCTATACAATAGTACATATGTAATAAGATTAAGAGAATTATGCAGATGAATATATTTGGAGGGTTTAGAACAGAGCCTGGTTTATCACAAGTACTGTATATATTTTATTTTTTTACTTTTTAAATTTTATTGATTTATTAATTTTTTAAACATCTTTATTGGACTATAATTGCTTTACAATGGAGTATTAGTTTCAGCTTTATAACAAAGTGAATCAGCCATACATATACATATATCCCCATATCCCCTCCCTCTTGCATCTCCCTCCCACCCTCCCTATCCCACCCTTCTAAGTGGTCGCAAAGCACTGAGCTGATCTCCCTGTGCTATGCAGCTTCTTCCCACTAGCTATTTTACATTTGGTAGTGTATATATGTCAACGCCACGCTCTCACTTCATCCCAGCTTACCCTTCCGCCTCCCCATGTCTTCAAGGCCATTTGCTATGTCTGCATCTTTATTCCTGTCCTGCCCCTAGGTTCTTCAGACCCTTTTTTTGGTTTTTTAGATACCATATATATGTGTTAGCATACAGTATTTGTTTTTCTCTTTCTGACTTACTTCACTCTGTATGACAGACTCTAGGTCTATCCACCTCACTACAAATAACTCGATTTCGTTTCTTTTTATGGCTGAGTAGTATTCCATTGTATATATGTGCCACATCTTCTTTATCTATTCATCTGTCGATGGGCACTTAGGTGGCTTCCATGTCCAGGCTATTGTAAATAGAGCTGCAATGAACATTGTGATACATGACTCTTTTTGAATTATGGTTTTCTCAGGATATATGCCCAGTAGTTTGATTGCTGGGTCGTATGGTAGTTCTATTTTTAGCTTTTTAAGGAACCTCCATGCTGTTCTCCTTAGTGGCTGTATCAATTTACATTCCCAACAACAGTGCAAGAGGGTTCCCTTTTCTCCACACCCTCTCTAGCATTTATTGTTTGTAGATTTTTTGACGATGACCATTCTGACGGTGGGAGGTGATACCTCACTGTAGTTTTGATTTGCATTTCTCTAATGATTAGTGATGTTGAGCATCCTTTCATGTGTTTGTTGGCAATCTGTATATCTTCTTTGGAGAAATGTCTGTGTAGGTCTTCTGCCATTTTTGGATTGGGTTGTTTGTTTTTTTGATATTGAGCTGCATGAGCTGCTTATAAATTTTGGAAAATAATCCTTTGTCAGTTGCTTCATTTGCAAATATTTTCTCCCATTCTGAGGGTTGTCTTTTCATCTTGTTTATGGTTTCCTTTGCTGCACAAAAGCTTTTAAGTATCATTAGGTCCCATTTGTTTATTTTGGTTTTTATTTCCATTTCTCTAGGAGGTGGGTCAAAAAGGATCTTGCTGTGATTTATGTCATAGAGTGTTTTACCTATGCTTTCCTCTAAGACATTTATAGTGTCTGGCCTTACATTTAGGTCTTTAATCCATTGTGAGTTTATTCTTGTGTATGGTGTTAAAGAGTGTTCTAATTTCATTCTTTTACATGTAGCTGTCCAGTTTTCCCAGCACCACTTATTGAAGAGGCTGTCTTTTCTCCATTGTATATTCTTGCTTCCTTTTTCAAAGATAAGGTGACCACATGTGTGTGGGTTAAGCTCTGAGCTTTCTAGTCTGTTCTGTTGATCTATATTTCTGTTTTTGTGCCAGTACCATACTGTCTTGATTACTGTAGCTTTGTAGTATAGTCTGAAGTCTGGGAGCCTAATTCCTCCAGCTCCGTTTTTCTTTCTCAATATTGCTTTGTCTATTTGGGGTCTTTTGTGTTTCCATACAAATTGTGAAATTTTTTGTTTTAGTTCTGTGAAAAATGCCATTGGCAGTTTGATAGGGATTGCATTGAATCTGTAGATTGCTTTGGGTAGTATAGTCATTTTCACAATGTTGATTCTTCCAATCTAATAACATGGTTTATCTCTCCATCTGTTTGTATCATCTTTAGTTTTCTTTCATCAGTGTCTATAGTTTTCTGCATACATGTCTTTTGTCTCCTTAGGTAGCTTTATTCCTAGGTATTTTATTCTTTGTGTTGCAATGGTAAATGGGAGTGTTTCATTAATTTCTCTTTCAGATTTTCTATCATTACTGTTTAAGAATGCAAGAGATTTCTATATATTAATTTTGTATCCTGATACTTTACCAAATTCATTGATCAGCTCTAGTAGTATTTTGTAGCATCTTTAGGATTCACTATGTATAGGATCATGTCATCTGCAAACAGTACCATCTTTACTTCTTCTTTTCTGATTTGGATTCCTTTTATTTCTTTTTCTTCTCTGATTGCTATGGTTAAAACTTCCAAAACTATGTTGAATAGTAGTGGTGAGAGTGGATGACCTTGTCTTGTTCCTGGTCTTAGTGGAAATGGTTTCAGTTTTTCACCATTGAGAACGATGTTGGCTGTGGGTTTTGTCATATATAGCCTTTATTATTTGAGGTAAGT